TTTTGCTTTGTTTTGTAGCATTATAAAAATAATAAAATTATAAAATGAGTTATTTATATATGCGTAATTAAATGTACTGATGTATTCTTTTTAGAATTTTATTACCCAATATTGATAAAATTAAACCTCTTAAGATACTTAAATTTGACAAAAATTATTTAATAAGTATTAATTGTTATTATTAATTGTTATTACCTATTATTATTATTAATTTTAAATGGTTATCTCTATTTTTGATATTTAAAAAAAAAAATAAAATATTGAGCATTTGTATTTTTTCCAAGAAAAAGAAAAAGAAGAAGAAGAATATCGATTGCTTTTATTATTATTATTATTATTATTAATTTAATTTTTATACTTTTTTTTAACGGTAATTAAATTTGAATTTTTATCATTTGAAATAATGATGATTATAAAAAAAAAAAAAGAAGAAAAATGAAATAATAAAATTTTAATTTTTTTTTTTTTTTTCAATGTCAATCCTTTTAAAATTTTATCATTTTCAAAGGAAAATCTGAAAAGTGAATCTTCCTATACCTGAAACTCGAATTTAATGGGTAAAAATGATGATGGAAAAAAGAAAATTTTGTCTGTCACTTTCAACCTTTACCTATAAACTAGAAGGAAAAAAAAAAAATGGGGGGGGATCATGGAAGGGTATGGGAAAAAAAAAAAAAAAGGAAAAGAAACGAATGGAAGGGTATGAGAAAAAAAAAAAAAAAGGAAAAGAAACGAATGGAAGAGTAAAAAAAAAAAAAAAAAAAAAAAAAGGGAGGAAATTGAATAAATTCCAAAATCAGCTTTTCTTTTTCTCTCTCTTTCTCTCTCTCTTTATTTTTTTTCTTTAAAAGTCCTTTTTTTTTTTAGAAGAATCGAAAAAAAAGAATAGAAAAACTTTTAGGCTAATAGAATATTTTTTTAAAAAAAAAAATTCAATTACCAAAAACAAAATTAATAAATAAAAATATCTATAAAATTTATTAAAATGAAAATAATAATAATAATTATTATTAATTATTAACTTACTTAAACATATTTTCACGGTTATCAATTAAATATAACAATTTTTTAAAGTAAAATAAAATTTTAAACACTGTACCTGGCTCATAATCAATTAATTTTTTCCTCCATTTTGATGTTTCAACGGTTATTCACTTTTCAATACTGAACTTTGTTTACATTCGTTGGCCAATTATATAAGGAAAAAAAACCATAGAGTAAATAAATTTTTTTTTTTTTCGTGTTGGTAAATCACGCGGTTTTTTTTTTTTCGTGTAAGTAAATTACGCGGGTTTTTTTTTTTAAATTCAAAATTAAATCGAACGCGTTTGAAATTCAAAAAGGAGGGAAAAGGGGAAAAGGGGGGAAATTTTAATAATTTCACTGTGATATTTTCCTTTTTAAATTCATTAACATCAAAGGTAAACCCATCAATCATTTTACTTTAACCTTTTTAATAATAATGATGATGATGATGATGATTACTTTAATGATGATTAATCAATTTTCTGTCAATTCACGCGTTCCATATAAAAAGCATTTACGGAATTAATGTATTACCATTATTATTATTATTATTACGGTTTTCACGCCAGATGTTTTTTTTCCTTTTTTTTTTACCCGGAATTTTTTTTCATTTAAATAATTTATAAAATTATTATTATTATTATTATTATTATTATTATTATTATTAACGGCGAATTAAAATTTTATAAATTATAAAATTTATCGAGTAATAATAACAATAATAATGATAAAATATTTAAAAAAACAAAATTTTTGAAATTTAAATTTTTAGGAGGAGGAGGAGGAGGGATGAGGCATTCGTACTATGGAAAAAAGAAAAATTTTTTGTATTGTGTAAATTCGAAATTGGGATGATCTCGATAAAATCGATCATTCATATTTTTACAATTTTTTTTTTTTTTTTTTTTCATATATTCAACTATTTTTTCCATTGTCGAACGTTTTAGAGAGAGAAAGGGAGAGGGAGGGGAAGAGGGAGATAGGAAAAACAGAAAAAAAAAAATTTATTACTTTTCTAATGGCGACATTTTTCTCCGGCTTGAGGTACGTAGATAAGCTTCCATTTTTTTTTTGTTATAGAAACAATGAAAATGTCAAAGTTGCTGCGCCTCGACATTTTTTTTTTTTTTGTTTCACGTTCTGAATATTAATAATTTTTTTTTTTTTTCCAAATGTTTGTAAAGGAAAACAAAAACGTTTTTTTTTTTTTCCACCGCAAAAATTATTATTATTATTATTATTATTATCTCAGTTATTAAATTTCCACGTAATTTATATTAATTTATTATTACGTAAATTTTCCAAAAAAAAAATTATTACGCGTTTATACAATAATTTGTTCAAACATTTTTCCTTATAATTCGTTAAAATTTATTTTAACGAATTATAAGGAAAAATCGTATTAAAATTTTATTTTCGGAAAATTCTTACGTGATTCCAAGTTAAAATAATAATAATAATAATAATAATGATAATAATAATAACAAACATTTTTAGGCGATAATTTAAACAAATATTAAATTTTCTTTTGTGTAAAAATTGTATTCATTAGTCGAAGTTAATTTTTTTTGTTTTTCCGGGGGGGGGATAAGAAGGAGAAGGGGAAGGGTAGGGGGAAGAGTAAAGGGAAGGGTTAAGTAATAAACATAACGTGAGAAATTATAAAAAGTTTAATTTTTCTTTTTTTAAATGGTTTTTGTTTTGACTACCACGGGGTAAATATTTAATGACGTAACAAATGTTTAGATTCGAAAAAAAAAATAGGAGAGGGTGACAGGGGCGTTAATTAATTACGTTTTAAAAATAATAATAATAATGATTTTATCGGGGGAAAATTGAGATGAGGGGACAGGGGGAGAGAGAGGGAAGGAGGTAAAAGTTTTTTGTTTCGTAAAATATTTTTAAATAATGGTTTTGGAAAAGTTTTCACGTGTAGCCAATGAAATTTTTTTATTTTTTTTTTTGAAATTAATTTACGAGAGATAAAATTTTTGAAAACAAAAAAAAGGCGGGAATTTTATTATTATTATTATTTTTTTTTTTTTTTTTCGTCACTTTAATTTAATTCATAAATTTCGTTGCATTATTTTTTGATTGAGAGATTTAAAAAGGGGATGAGAGAGGAAAATTCATTTTAAGTAAGATTTTTTAAATAATATTTAATATTAAGATCAATTCACTCCCCGCCGAAAAACCCAACGATAATAATAATAATTGCTATTAAAAAAAACGGAAAAATTTATAAATAAAAGTGGAAAAATAAGTTAAAGAATTTTCCAAACCGATTTTTCAGACGCACGATACATGACAAACCGGATATCATTCTAATTGTTAAAAAAAAAAATTGTTTGATTTAATTGGATTATCCGGAAATAGAAATAGAAAAGATGTGGGAGACTCACAAAAGGTTTTCCTGGGACCACCGGGAGCCATGACACGTTCAATAAGATGATTTTAAAAAAATTTTTAACGAAACAATATCAAAAAAAAAAAAAAAAGGAAAAACTTTGTGGAAAACTGAATAAAAAAAAAAAATTTTACATAATGCGCGCGCGAAAGAAAAATTATTATTATTATTATTATTTAAACGTAATAAACACCTTTTATTTACTGTTAAACCTTAATTTAATTTACTTCGTTAAATTTTATTAAAAATTATGTAACAATTATTTTATGCAAAACACAAAAAGCTTTTTTTTTCCCCTTCTTTTTTTTTTCTCCTTTAAAATTTAAATAACAAATGGAAAACATAAAATTTTAATTAGAAAAAATTAAAAACAAAAAAAAACGGTTTCCGAAGGAAGGGATGAGGGGGAGCGGAGGGGAGGGGAAAAAAGAAATAAAAAAGAAAAAAAAATTTTGTTTTTAATTGTTATTAATTGCGTAAGAAAAATAAAAAATAAAAAAAAAAAAAAAAGGAAAAAGAAAATTATATAATAAATTAATTAAGAAAAAAAAAATTATTTGTTTGTTTTTAATTTAATTTAATTTAATTTTGTATTAATCGATAAATCGATAAATCGATATAATAATTTAGAGATATTATTAAAAAACAAAAATCACTTTTCATTTTTTTTTTTTTTTTTTTGGGTTGTTTGGTTGTTTGTTTGTGCGTATTTAATTTGATAAAATGACTTTTTCGTTTGTTTCATTTTTTTTTTTTTTTCGGTTTGTCACGTTATTTTTAATAAAGATAAAAAAGGTTTCGTCGGATAAAGGGAAAAAAAGGAAGAAGGGGGAAAAGGGGGGAGGAAAAGTAAAAACAGTAACAAAGCACCTGGAACTCACCTGGTTATTTATGGAAAAGTATTTTCTCTCTCTCTCTCTCTCTCTCTCGGTTAATTAATGTATTTTTAAATTTATTTATTTTTTCCTCGTTTGAATAAAAATAACTTTAAAGCTTTTTTTTTTTTTTTTTTAAATTAATTAATTGAATAAAATCATTTCGGTGTCAATTTTTTTTTTTTAAATTACACACACACGCGGAAAACCCAGCCCCCTAGGGCCGAAAAAAATGGCCCCGACAATAATAATGATTACTCTATGATTTTTCCCTCCCCCACCAATCAATAATTTAATGAAAAGGTTAATTTTAACGAGCCTTCATTCTACATTGTTTACATAATATTTACATTCTTAACGATGATGATAATAATAATGATAATAATCAAGAAGACAACATAATTTAAAATATACGTTTGTTTACATAATGATCATAAGTAAACAATAATAATAATAATAATAATAATAATAATAAAAACCCCAACATAAACATACATTTACAAGTCACACACACAATTATTTTTTTTTTTTTATTATTAATTTTTTTTTCTAAATTTTCCTAAGTAAAAAGTTAAAAATTTTATATAATAATAATAATAGTAATAGTAATAATAATAATATATAATAATTATTGTCGAAATATATATGTTATTTTAGAGAGTGAGAGAGAAAGAGGGAGAGAGAAAGAAAAGATGTTAATTCCAAATACATATCTTTATCACACGGCAGCATTGACAATGGTTATTTTTGGATTTTACGTATTTTCAAAAGGTGTTAAAACAAACGAATTTAAGGTATTACCCGATGGCACACTCATTGATTCATCTTCGAGTCAATTTATTAATTTTAGACAATCAAAAGCGATATTAACGTTTAAAACTGGATTCGATTTGTATCACACTATCGCCTACGGATTATCAAGTTTGTGTTTGTTAATAGATCTCGTATTGCATTCCGGATATTTAACATTGCCGGCGTTAATATTAACAGCTGGAGAAATTGTTACGGATTTAAGCGATTTCTGTTTGGCCGCTTTTGTTTTTTCATTTTACGTTAACGGTTTATCCGGAGCTCTTTACGGATTCGTTTATTTATGCTTGTTAATATTTGAAATTATTATTTGGTCTGGAACGTGTAAATTTCACGAAACGTGCAGGATAGAATCGAAAAAGAAGAAATTAATGAAAAAGAAATATATATGCGATAATCAAAATAATCAAAATAAAAATAAAATTAGTTAGCTAACTTTTTCCCCCCTCCCCCTTTTTTTGTTTTTTTTTTTTTAAAATAATTTTTATTATTATTTATTTATTTATATATCTATATTTTTTTTAAAGAATGATTTGTTTTATGTTCGAGAATAGTCCTTAAATCTAGGACGTATTATTAATAATAATAATAATAATAATAATAATGATGATTGTATAAAATCGTTAAATTTATTCAACGCCATATGACACAAACACACTCATTATTTTCATTTCTATATAAATTTTCCTACTACGTATTTATCGATCTCGAATTAATCATAGAATAACTTCATCATCATCATCATTATCATCATCATCATCGTATAAAATAGAAAATTCTAGAATATGAAACCTCACGATTTGTAACAAACGTCGTCGGTTGCCCCCCCCCTTTTTTTCATTTTATTTTATTTTTAACAACACGAAAAGGAAAAAAAGAAAAGTTTTTTTTTTTTTTAAACACTTTTTCATTGCAGGATTTATAATAATAATAATAATAATAATAATAAGGTTTAATAAGACGTTTGAGAACGTTAATTAATAATAAAAAAAATTAAAAAAAAATTTTTTTTTTTTAACGAGTTTTTATTATCATTTTTTTCGTTTTTTTTTTTTTTTTTAATTAAAATACAAAACTACTCACTTAACGTATATTCTTTGTTTTATATACTCTATGGTTTTTTTTTGTTTTGTGTTTTTTTTTTCGACTGGAAAAAATAAATGCGTAATATTATTATTATTAATACACCTGTATAAAGTTATAATCGAGTTTTATTATTTTTTTTGTTTTGTTTTTTTCTCCATATTTTTTGGTGTCCAACATGGGAAAAATCCATGAGTAAAAAAAACAAACCACAGAGGTTCAAATAATAAATTACATAAATTGGCAACACTGGTACAAAGTGATATAGAATTAAATTTTTACTTATTCGTTACGGTTGAAAGCATTAAAAAACAAGTCATCCGAATGATTTTTTCTTTCTTTTTTCTTTTTATTTTTGTATTCCTTTTATTTTTTTTTTCGCAAAAATAATAGAAAGAGAGATAAAGAGATAGAGATAGAGAGAGAGAAATTTCTTTTTTTTTTAAAACAAAACCTTTTAATTTTAATTTTTTTTTTTTTTTAAACTATTGAGGTCATGGCTGACTCTCAGTTAATATTAAAAAAAAAAATTCAAAAAGGTTTTGGATAAAGTTTTTCCTGTTAATCGTACATCGTATTCAGTTTTTTATTTACTTAACACGGAAGGATGTGTAATACCTGGAAGGTTTACGAACTGGAGTACAAAAAAAAAAAATGTTTTGTGTTTAACTTTTCTCCTTTTCCCTCTTTTAAACTACGGAAATTAGTTAAACGAATTTAATTTATCCAATTTTTCATTTTCTCCTCGAAATTAAATTTAGTATTTTAGTATCACATTGTACTCTGAACACTTCAAAAGGTTAATTTCTAAGAGAAAATTTATTATTTTTGTAAACCTTTTCAAAAATATAATAATAATAATAATAATAATAATAAATTTCTTTTTAGTTTTTTGCTTGCGTGTTTTTTTTTTTTTTTTTTTTTGCTTTTACAACAAAACTCTTCATTTTAAAGTTTTTTTTTTTTTTTCCTTTTTATTTACTTTTTTTTACTAAATGATGAATAAAAGTATTATTATTATTATTATTATTTTTTATTGTTTGAAAAAAGTTAACGTGTGAGTAAAAAAAAATATTCATAAAGAAAATAATAATAATAATTTTTTTTTAAATGTGGGAAATGAAAAAAAAAATAATAAAAGAAAAAAAAAAACGGGAACGGGATAACCAGAAGACCGAACGCTCTTTTTTTTTTTGTTTCCAGGAACAAAAACCCATAAAATTTTCACTGTTTAAACAGACAACCAGCCAAACCAACAAACAAACAAACGAAAAAGATAAAAAAAAATAAAAAAATTTTCAAATGATTTTTTATTATCGATTTTTAGCAAACTTTTAAAACGGAATTGATTTAACAAAAAAAAAAAAAAAAAATTTTTTTTCAACCGACAAAGATTTGAAATTTAAAAAAGAAGCATTTACAACCGGAAATAAAAAAAGAAAAGAAAGAAAGAAAGAAAAATTGAAAAGCTTTTCAAAAATCTGGCAATAAAAAAAAAAAAAAAAAAAAATGCGTATAACTTTTTTATTAGCGAATCGCCTCATTGTAAATATTCTGAGGGAGGGGGAAAGGGAGAAGGAGGAGGAAAAAAAGAAAATGGCGAAATAAAATTTGTTTAAATTGTTCAATTTTATAACCATCCTTCCCCCCACACACACACGCACGCACACGCACACCATCGAAACCGTTCATCGTTTAAATCAAAACAAAAATGAAAACACAATCGAGAAAAGTGTTAAAGGATTTTTATGTCAAACAACATTAATTACGATTTTGTAAATAAAAATTTCGAAATTATGTTTCGATATAAAAAAAAATGTCGGAGGATTTCAAATAATAATAATAATAAATACGAAAATACGAATTTTTTTTTAAATATATTATTTACGACCGGAAATTATTGGAACGATTGTTAATCTTATGCGTCACACACAATCATCATTATTTTTTTTTTTTCGTGGGAATAGATTTTCGTAAACTCCTGTCACTCCTGTTAATATAATTAAATGTTTTTCGTACAAATGAATTTTTTTTTTGGGGGGGGGGGAAGCATTGTGGTATCGTTTTCAATAATTTATTAATCAATTATGAATTTTCCAAAAAAAAAGGGCAAACATTAAGCTACGACCGGAAATTTTAAATGTCGAATAAAAATTTTCCTTTTTCCGTTTCTTTGGGGTAAAATAACAATGTAATTAGTGTAAAATTTCAAAAAGGTGATTCGAAGGTTTGTGAACAGGTGAAACTAATTTTGTTTAAAAAAAAAAAATCCCATGTTTCCGTTTCCGTTTGTTTTCGACAAAATTAAAATTCACGTACGACGATTTAAAAAATTTTTTTTTTTTTTTTTTACAATTAAAAAAATGTTTCATCGAACTGATAAAAGGTCGTGGAGGGTGGGGGTGGGGGTGGGGGGAATGGGAAGTCACACATACATCGTTGTAAAGTAAAAATTTTACCCCTCCCTCAAAAAAAAAAAAAGATTCATTTTTTTATCACGAACGAAGAAAAACGCGAACGCAAATTTTAACGACGATAGCGACGGTTTAGAAAAAAAAAATGGCGGCTTTTTAAATTTTTTTTTTTATTTTTGCGACATTTTTCCCTTTCCTTAACTTTTGATGTAACGTTAAAAAAAAATTATTTTTAAATTCGTTCGATCGAACCAAAAAAAAAAAAAAATCTCACAAAAAAAACCGTTTTTTCGTTTAAATATAAAACACGTGCACGTGTATACACGTGTGCGAGAAAATTTTTTTTTTTTCAACGTAGCGTGTAATTTAAATTATTATTCGGGTTGATGTTGTTGCTTTTCCTTAAAAAAATAAAAAAAGGAAAAAAAAAGGTTTTTGCATAATTTATAATTTATTTTAAAATAAACATCGTCGCCGTCGTCGTCTTTTTATTTTAAAAAAATACATTTTTCGACAGCGCGTCATAGAGTAAAAAAAAAAAAAAATAACGAAACGAAAAACGCCGTTGCCTTTCCTCTCTTTCTCTCTCTCTCTCTCTCTCTCTCTCTCTCTCTCTCTCTCACTTTTCTCTTCGGCTTTTCCTTGTTACGTTTTGAAAATATTTTTAAAAAATTAATCATTAACGTGGTTTTAAACAATTTTTTAACGAGATCACTATTACCACTGCTACACCACTTTACTACTGCCACTACAAAAATAAAATAAAAGATTTTAATTTGATTTAACGTAAACTATTTTTCCCTTATCGAATATAATAATAATAATTATTATTATTATTAATTTTTTTTTATCATTACACTCTCGAACAAACAGACAAACAAACAAATTCTACTCGTTAACAAACAGACAAAAAGTTTATATTATGTTATGCATTGCAATTAGTTTTCATTCTCTCGAGAGAAGAAATTTTTTTTTTTTTTATTTATTTATTTTATTTTGACAACTTGAAATCGTGATCGGAGTTTATAAATAAAAAATGGCGGATATTTTTTCGGACGAATGAAATTGTGAGGGAACTCAAAGGGGAGAGGTTGGGCGGGGGGAGCGAAGTGAGGGGGAAGCCGGGAACCGGAATGTAATCGCGATTTTTCACATCCAATTGAATTTTCAACAACAAAAAAAAAAAAGAAGAAGAAGAAGAAAAACATTTTGTTTATTTATTTATTTATTTATTTTTATTTAAGATGATAAAATATAAATAAAAATTTAAAATTTTTTTTTTTTTTTTTACTTAAGAGTATACGAAAAAAAATATTTGTTGTGAAATTTTTGTGTGAGTGACGTAAAATTTTTTTCCTATTGCGAAAAGGATTTAAGAGAAATTTTTTTTTCTGATGTGATGATGATGATGATGATGATACACAATTAATATCGCTACTACAATAAAAAAAAAAAAAAAAAAAAAAAAAAAGGAATTTTCTTAATCCTTCTTTACCCGGATTTTCGTAGGATAGGGGGGGGAGGAAAAACCTATAAAAGAAAAAAAATTAAAAGTTTTCCCTTTGCTTTTTTTTCCTTTTTTTTGTTTCCTTTTACCTTTTTATTGAGATAAATACAAAATAATTAATTTGAAATTTTAACATTTAAAATTAATTAATTTTCACGACCATCGCCATCACCACCACCACCACCACCGCCACCGTCACCACCAACTCTACCCACATCATTTAAATTTAAATTTTCTTCAAGTTTTTTTTTTTTTTTTCATAGAAATAAATAAAATTACGTTACAATGAAAAATTCGAATAATAAATTTTTTTCCTTTTTCTTTTTTTTTTACGCTTTAAAAAAGTCAAGAGAGAGAGAGGGAGAGAGAAAACGTTGTCGACTGGAGAATTTTTTTTTTTTCCACGTACGTATAAAATTTCGTATAA